GATATATTTTATCTATAGAATAAAACATTTTTATAAATTTTTGAATTTCGACGTTTCACTCGGTTACCGTCTGTACCATTTCAAGCTTGACAAAGACAGTCAAACATGTCATTGAAATCATCAATGCCCTGATATATCTCAAGAGAAAACACCATATTGCAATACTGCACGATTTATGTCCAGGACGATTTCGCTGCATCTCAACTTAGTGCATACACAGTATTTATAAAGGGATTTAGCATAGCAATAAAGAAGAGTAAAATACAATGAAACAGATAAAACATAAAAGAGGGAGAGGTAAAAGGACTATATCACCCGAGTAAGGATAAACTAACATAAAGCCCTTTTTGTTGGTACAAGGGGTGGCTTCCATCGGCTAATAGGAATCGCTTCTGCAAACCGTAGCAATCTTGCGATTCGTGACTCTTAGATAATTAGAAACGCCGTGCTTCGGTCGATCTGGTGTTGCGTCATCAGCTGTCGAGCTATGGCTGATGACGAAATCTTGTAGTTTCGACCGTTTTTTCTATGCTGCGGACTTGACCCATATTGTCATTTAACTTTGGACCCAATTTGGAATATGTTCAACCACCCGTTTACGTAATTGTCGCTCTGTTCTGCCCACGTAGGTCGCTCCGCACGTAAATTGGAATCGGCAGATCGGATCAGAGTTGGTGTACAGAGACAGACGTTCTTTTACCGGGGGTGTGGGTATTCTATTGGTCCAATAGACGATTTGAGGGTCAGCTGCATAGTAGGTTCGAGCAATTGCCGATCTCAGTCGCTTTTTGAGCAAATAGCTTACGTCATCACCCTTGAATTGGAGGCACAACGTGACTCGTAATTTTGGAGCTGAAGCAATCGTTTCTTTTACAATTATTGGTTTGCTGTGTTTATTGACAAACGCGTCGTGGCAAGCGTTTTCTGCTAAGATCTCCCGAAGGTTTTGTAGTTCAAGTTCAATTTTATTTTCTTTGCAGATCCGCCTCGTTCTGTTGAATAGCGTCCGAACAAGACCACGTTTATACTTCAGGGGCACAAAGCTCTCAAAGCGTAAATTTTGGCCTATCCAGCTCTCCTTTCAGATCGTTCCATCTTCTCTTCGCCTCATGCTGATGTAAAGGAAATTCAGTGTTGTCGGCTTCGGATTCCATTGTAAAGCGAATATTTGGATTTAATCTATTAAGTCCATCCAAAATTACTGTAGCTTCTTCTAGGCGTCTGTTATCACAAGGTTGTCGTCGACATATCGTTTGTAAAGGATGGCACGTTCTAGAATGTTATTTGCCTTGTTTTCGAGCTTCCCAAAGTGACCCCATCAGTTTGTATGAATTTAACGTTAGTTTACAATGAAACAACCGAGCGGACATTTAACCATATGGCTTTTACAAACTTTCATGAGGTTTTACTGGTGAGTTTCTATAATCACCATTCTTTTCAAGAATTCTGCTAGATTTATGTGGTTCATATTTTCCCAAACAGCTTTTTTGGTGAAATTGTACTCGAACAAAAAACAATGCTGTTTGCAACCTAGGCACAGCGCAACGGTCAAACCAAATTCTTACTGTCCAGGGTTGATCAGCACCGGTGTGGGTGTTTAGCGCCTCAGTGACCTCAGTGACTAATGATACTGAAATGAGACTCACGGATTACATGAGCATTGCTAGATCCTATCGATAGTTGTTTTGGTTACCTTTGTGATTGTGTTGTCTAATTTAATCCACATCCAACAACAAAAACACTGTGTTCGCCTAGCTTCTCAGATCGTCTCCGCTCTTAAATGCTCGATCACCACCATTTTGATAATTTCGTATTTCGGCTTTCTCTTCGGTCCGCGTTGAAGATATCGAGGCAGAGATAATTTCGATGACGCGGTTTACAATCTTCCTTGTAATACTCATGAGTAGTATAACACAGAATACAAAAGTTGCACAGGCTATAGAACCATAATTGACCGAAACGTCTTAAATTTCTGATAAATTCACATATATTGGCAAATTTTACTTTATTTGTTAGAGAAAAATTTATAAATTATTGAATACATCACTTTATAATGATTAACTGGATTTGTGTTTCTATTTTTATTTTTCATATTTTGCGTAAATATTCAGAATAAATATCCCTATGAAACAAAAGTGATGACAAAATTCGTGTGAGTGACTTGTGCGCTGAATAACACCATCTGCATTGGTTGAGGTTGCATATTCCGAACTATTACAAATTTTATCCTGATACCCAGGAGCGCATTAATGCAACAACATTACAGTGGGAACTAAAGTCTGGAATAATTGCTCATTGCTCATGCCTATCGATATACGAGTACGATAGTAAAAATTAAAATATATTATTCTGTTGAGGGTCATGTCTCGCGATGAACACATAAGTGCATGCATAAGAATAGAACGAGATGTGTTTCATTCACTTTCGTCGAAGTTTACTGCTAACCTGGACTGCGCCCTCTTTACAATTATTGCGAATAAGCTAGTCTTCAGGTGTACATCAACTGGCTAAATATGGCACAAGTATAACAGATTCAACGGGATAGTAGAGGAGACATCCACGAAAGAAATCAGAGTTTAGAAAGGGGTGATGAAATTATGATGATCGGCGTGTGTGTATGGATGAGGGAGGGTGATTGTGAAAGATTGAGTGGGTGGATGAAGTAAAGTTCATGAACTTCAACATATGGTAGATGGGTGGCCATGATTAGACCAATGTTCTTACCGACTGTTTCTAGGTTCATAAGGAGATATATTAGAGTGAAGATGGATGGTAATCGCCTCGGCTATTGAGAAATTTCGGAAATGGATTTATTTGGCTAACCTTCCCTCAACCGTACAGACGAAGGAAAGTACATTGATTTTATGGTTAGACTCAGCCAAATTACCGTCATCCCGGTCCTTATCAGTTCTTAATTCAGCCAGCTTGTGTGATGCTCCTTGGTGCTATTAGACAGATGTCTCACCATTCGACCCACATAACTTGCTCCACAGGAGCAGGTGAACTGATAAACACAAAATGATTTCACCTCCAGGAGTGATCTATCCTTAGACTGCATAAAGAGAACAGGTTAGAAGGTCAATTTGATGCAGGGCTCGGCTGCTAATTAGGTGGATTTGATAGAGGTTTCGAGTAAGCCAATTATTGAAAATAAGTCATCTTGCTCTGAACTCTGGTTTTCTTTGCATATATGTGTCTGCGCTCATCGTCTGCTCCATCTTTTATAAATTGTGTTGCACTTGACCGGTTGATGCAGCATAGGAAAAGAGCTGTTTGCTAACTTGTGCTCTCATATTCAATTATTGTTACTGTTTTAGTAACTCCATTTGGTTGTTAAATAAAACTCAATGTATTTATGTTTATTCTCCTCATTAAAAATGTTCGTATCTTTGTGTCATTTTGTCATCTGTTATTGAAAAATACTTATATCTCGCTACAGTATTTATGCTGTTATATGTTAGGTGTTTTGTCTTTCAGCTGAGGGCTGTGAGCCCTTGGATTTATCTGTCCGAAAGATGGGGAAATATGCACTTCTTTAACCCGATACGTTTTTTGATGATTTGCCTTATATTCCTGATTTTGATTTCTGTTCACCTAATTGTGACAATAAAAAACTTCTCTATCTTGTTTTGTTTTCAAACGGGTGTGTGAAATTTCCAGGTAAGCCACACTTCTCGTTGACCCGCATCAACAAAAGCAATCGTCTTGTAAACCTCAACTAAAGCTTTCGATCTAACTGCTTGACCCACAACGCATCTGTGTGTGAATCCACGTGATCGAAGCATTCGTATATGAGCTTCCGCAGAATTGCGACATAAGGTCTTGAGGTGTATGTTTCATATTAAGTTATTCTTATCTCCATCCACTGTTATATTGTGACTTCACAGTGGATAAACTTGGATGATCAAAGGGAAAACAGTGGGGACATAAATCCATCCAGGGAAATGCCACTCTGTAAAGCTGTTTTAGTTAGAAGGCACGCAAGATGCCACAATCCATCAGGGTCTGGTTTCGGGTTGCCGGTCACTTTTTCACTTAGATATCCTTTCGTTGATAAATTGGGCATTATTTGAATTCTTTTATGCTACAGTTCCCACAAGTACGCGTAAAAACTCAAAAA